GAACGTTTTTAAACACTGTGGATATATTCATTAAAATTATCTCGCCTGGTTATTGTTGAGTATGTTCATTTATTATGCAGTTCTTTTTAATCAAACATTCAAGATTCATACAAAGTGAAAATTTTGCATTGGATACATTACTCAACATTACCTCAATTTAGAAAAGGAAAATATTTGAAGAAATATATCTTTAATTTGATTAAAAACAAACTACTTTAATTTAAACAAGGACTTATTTGAATCTGGAATAATTTTGAATTCTGGAAAATTACTTTGAAATTTATTATGCAAACTAACCCAACTAAATAAATAGGGTTAGCCATGCGCACTTGGCTGAGGTTCATTTTACTTTCACTAATACTTCAGTATGAACTAACTAACCCCCTTAGCCAAGCATGCATGGCTTAGCATCCTTAATTAGGTTAGTTTTCATCAAGCATTTCTTATCTATTTTCTAGAATTCAAAATTATTCCAGTTTCAAATAATTCCGTTTTTACAGGATTTTATTTGCACTTCCTGACTTTAAAGTATCAGCATTTATTTCATTTATAATAAATATGCTATTATTTGATTTCTTTAAATTAATGTCTGAAAGGACTTGGTTTATTTATTTTGACATTTTTTCACAAACCTCTAAGCTTGATTGTGATGTAACATATAGAATAAATGTAGGACAGTCTAAATGGATAATAAGAGTAAATATCAGCATTGTCACTTTCAAAGTTTTTTTGGTCCAACACAAAAAAAAATAATTTGAAAGTCACAAATTTCCATAGGAAAATAGCAAAATTTAATGTCAAAAACTTAAATTTTTCTGTTTATAATCAGTGTTATTGAACAAATTGAAAAACAAAAGATTGGAACAAAATGATGAGAAGCTGTAGACAATTTAGTAATAATTGGTGAATATTGCAAATAAAGTAGATCAGTTTATTATGGCTAATATTGCAAATTGCCAATGCAGACAACTTACCCTAATACATTTTAGTAGCCTACTAAATTATTAGATATTGAATAAATCAACATCACATATACATGTAGTTTTGTGTGTCCTTATTTAGTATTGGTACATGTATTTTTATCATTGAGAGTTGAATTTTTCGTTCAGATAAATTAATCAATGAGTGATAGATTTCTCTTAGAAGAAATTTAAAGGTCCCAGTGAATAAACTACACAGAGAGCAATAGCTATTGTATTTATTCAATTGGACAGGTGAAAAGTTTAAATACTTTGACCAAGAGGAGATGACTCTGTGGAAAACTTTCATTGGGTTCGCAATAAATCTAATCGTTTTGCTTTACCCAGTTTAAGTAAGGACATTGCAGTTGATATCTCTCTGGTTTTAGGTTACAAGAGCGCAATTATTTGTTTACATTTTACTCAGATGGTACTCAGAATAGAATCTTGCACGGCTTCTGATTTGATGATACAGGATTGGAATTACTTTTAATCGAAAGCTTATCAATTAGATTTAAAAAATCCAGAAAATCAAATTCACATTTTACAAAGTATAGAAAATATCTTCCATTTCTGCACATCGGAGCCATTAAAAATATGCCTTTTTCATTAAGCGAAAAAAATAGACGATGTTTTTCAATTGCATTTTAAGTCAATATTTGCCGCATGACCATATATATTTTTTTGGTTGTTATGCAACACTGGCATTTCTAGTAACAGGAACTGGTACCCTTTTTTCCTAGTTTGTGTAGTCTTCGAGAAATAAAATACGGAACACAACTGGTACCAATAATTGCGCTCTTGTAACCTTCATCTTATAGTCTAATTGATTAAAAATAGAGTTATCTTTCTTTTGGCATATGAAATCATTTGTCTTTTTCATACGAGATTCAAAGTTGTTATCAACTGCTGATGAGGTTTTAAAATTCTGTAGCCATGTGTCTGCATCAATTGCCCTTATTTTCCCGACTTCCCGATAGGGGTTAACTATAGAAGTCTAAGGGAAAATTGTAAAAAAAATAATTTCAAATAGTCATAACTTGAAAACTTATTTAAATAATGATAAGGGGTCTTCAGTAACTATTGTAAGACTACAATGGGATGACCTGCTTTTAATTTAACTACTGGGCCAAATTAAACCAAACTTGGCCTCAATCATTATTAGGGTATCTAATACTATTAATTATGATTTTAACCTTATTTTACATGATTTACCAAAACAACAGTAGATACAGGTGATCGACACAGGCTCTTGAGAGCCTCTAGTTTACTTTTTTCTTTTCTTTTTCTATATTTTGGTTTTGAAAGAGAGTTTTGCAGCTGACAAAATTATGTTATTTAAGTCTTTAACTGCTTCATCAATATCATTTGATGTCAAACTCTGATTTTTTCTGAAACAGTTTGATTTTTTCTTGAACTTCATGTGAATTGAAAGCCTCTTGAAAGTTTTCACTAGAACCTTTTTCCAGGTACAATTTGCGGGCAACTCATGAGTCATATTATAAACCTTATTAGGACAAATATTTCTGAACTTGGCTACAATTTCCCAAGAGATTTTACAATGACAGTCTGATAAAAATGGTATAAAATCAGAAACTTTAAAATACAATATTTGTGAATAAATTGACTTTGAAGCCATAGGATAATCAACTGTGCTTTGACCCAATGGATTATTTATAACAAGTAAATCTACCAACATAATCACCAAAGCACCTGCCATTGGCAATACGCATCTGATTACTTATACACAGTTCAAATAATTCTTTCCCTCTTGCATTTAATATAACATCGTGACTTTTTCTCCATCTTGTATTATCATCATTCATAAGAATCAAACAACGGAAGGTATTTGGAACTATCAATTGAAATACAGTCTAAATCAGAGGCAGTTCGTTCATTAAAATCACCACTGATTATCACCTCCCCCTTTTTTTTATAACTAATTATATCCTTCTCAATTAATTCAAATATATCATGATTTATAGATTTAGAGTATGATGAATTTGAGGGAATACATAAACTGCACAAATATACAGATCTGAAGATAAGTTGAAGACATCTTTCTCGACTAAAAGTCATTGATAATCTTTGCATGTATTCTGCATAATTTTTATATGTTCTTTAACTGATTTTTTTCTTAAAATAGCTAAGCCACTAAAATACCTTCCGTTTGTATAAATATTTCTACAGTCTGGAAAATAACTATATTCTGGAATGGTGATAGTAGTGTTGTAACCTATATATGTTTCACCAAGAATTACCAGGTCAAAATCTTTTATTTCACTTAGGAAATGTGCATCTTCTAATTTATTTTGATGACTTCTAAAAAAAAAAAAAAAAATAATAAAAAGCATTAAAAACTTGAGTTCACAAATGTTATAATCATAGTTTCCAAATAGTAAGTTTTCCGTTTTCTTATACGTTATGAAATATCTGCTTAAGGCATATACATTTCAGAACTGGTTCACTATGATTTTATGGAGAGCACATACCGTGACACATTTAAAACTGCTAAACCAGGGTTATAGTCAGCCTTAACAGTAAAAGTTATGTTTTGCATAAACTTATATTTATACTATCAATGTCATAAACTCCCAATAGATACATTTGCAAAGTGTTTCACGTTGTTAGGCAGATGTTAAATGTAACTCATAATCGACTTTGACCACTGGGCAATAATGCGGGCGGTGCATCAGCATCCTTTTGGAACAAATATTTAGCAGGTCGACTGGGATAACGGGAGGGATTAATAACGTTAACAGTAACACTGCACCAGGTGCGCATTTCAACAATAAATGTCTCTTCACTGAACTCGAGGCCAAGACATTTGGGAAAATTTTGAATACCACTGAAAATAGGTTATTTTGTATAAGGGGAGAAAACTTCTCTTGTAACGGGCGACTCTCGGACCGCTAAAAGAGAGTTGTTGCAAGGGTTTTTAAAGCGGAGAAAGCGTGGCATTCTTTCTTTATAATGCATCGAATTCCGACTGGACGTGTCTGCGTATTTATACATTCCGCTCAAATACATCAACATGATCAAAATCACTGGTGGGATAATGGGAAGAGATCTGTATATTATTTCAATATTACTTCTTCCTTTGAGGTAAGTTGATGTATAAGGGGCTCGTTCAACGTGTCTTTTTGTATATTAAATGAAGGAAAAAGTATGAACAAAAATATCAAGCTACAAGGTAAATACAAAAAGAGGGAAGTCCATTTAACTTGACAAAATCAAACGCTCGACTATATCAACCAAAAGATTTCATTCATCTGTTTTACATGTAAATCTTATTTTGCTGATAATTTTTGTTCAGTTTCTCTCTATATCTTCACGTTGTTTATGATGACAAATAGGGCTTTTTGGGTTTATAAAGCTATTTTTCTCCCGAGGTTGAAAGCAATTTCCATTTGAACTAAACAGAAGACCAAAATAAAGAAAGGAATCCTTAACCACAATAATTTGATTGTACAATTTAAAAAGAAACTTAGAGTAAAATTCATCTTTGAAAAAAATCAATCATTGTTTTAATTATCTTCACGCTCAGAGCTATATTTTGAGAAATATAGACAGTGCCTTCTGTAGCTTTACTGACGACTCGCAAAAATAACCATGTCATTGGCGTACAAAAGAATAAACAAAAATATATACATATCAAGTGAATCTACAAAATTTCATTTACACACTTAAAAAAAACCATCCAAGAATTTTCCAGCTAAAATGTCCTTATTAGACCCTATTGTGTCAATTCTTTTTAATGTTTTCCAAAATTTGCCACAATCTTTTCGAAAGTTTTCGCATATCGAATTCTATACTTTGCAACACAAATAAGGCAACCAGATCTTACCATATATATAGTCTGTGAATGTATAGCCTCGGTGTAGGACTGATATTTGAGCATCGGTCATTTACTTACTGTTGCTTTGATCTATTTAATGTTCGAGACTTTTTCTTTGCATTTCTTTCTTTTTATTTTTGATATATCTTGTTTCTCGCTCTATGGTAAGTTGCGGATGTGATGTTGGTTTCAGATAGATTAGATATATAAGATACATTTTATTGAAAGCAGGTTGTGTACAACATAGAAAATACAAGCTCTCAATGGCTTTTATCCGACAATAAAACATATACATCAACAATAAAAACAATTTATGCTGTCTCATAATAAAAATATAAACGCATTAACTATATTCTGTACATATTTTGATAAAAACAAAAATAGATAACCAATTATAAATGTTTTTTCATCTACAACAGGCACATTTGCAGGCATTTCCTTTTCTAATTTATTATCACATTTCTAATTTGATTAAACTTTGTTTCCTTTGTTACGTTTTTAGGCAGTGAGTTCAATAATATGTTTTAATTGACGGAATTTCCAGTTAATTTACATATATAAATTATACTTTGTATTTCATTTATAGTGACAAGATCATTTAGACTTGGGCGCCCTCAAACATGGTTAACCCTACCACATTCTGTTATGCCTGTCTCATGTCAGGACAAGTATTTCAGTTGTCGTCATTTGTTGCTGAATATCATATTTGTTTATCGTTTTTTGTTTTGTTTACAAATCAGGCCGTTGATTTTTTTGTTTAAAATGTTTTACATTTTGTCATGTTGCTTACAATTTGGTATAGATTTCGCTTATTGTTGAAGGCCGTACGGTGAACTATACTTGATAACATCTACGTCTTTTTGTCTCTGGTGGATAGTTGTCTCATTGTCAATCAAACCACATCTTCTTATTTTGATATCAATATTCAACATACAATTTTTGTTTAAATAACAGTAGAAAAGTAGAAAATGTGTTTCCATGCTACAGTGCATGCTTTAACCATGCAAAGGAGTCAACAAGATTTTATATGGCAAATCTGTAAATTGAAACGTCGACCGCTTCCTCCAATTTGAAATGTGTTGAAACAGTTGTCAAGTGTTAGCAGTTCTAGTTTTGCTATTGTTGAAAGATCACAAGTTCCATGTTTCTTGAGGAAACTGTGCAAGGCATTACGTTTTTTAGTTCCTAGTTGTTTTAGGTCCGGGTGATCTCCGCATACTTTTTGGAAGTTTAACTGGGTCATGTCAATGAACGAGTCAGTCAAATACCCAAGCTCATTTAAAATGTCTTTTTCCTTTAAGGCAGCGTGTACTTCTGAACCAAATTTCGGATCGGACTCTTTCAGAATTTTAGAAGTAATATGTTTAAAATCCCATTTAAGGAACTGGTTGTGTTTTGCATTTGTTGGCGCAAACGCCAAAACGAAAACTAATTTCACATCATCATCGAACATCTCAAGGAATTCTTGCTTATTAAGGGTTAACAATCTTTCTCTGACAAAGTGGCGATATGCCGAAGTTGCTGTCGTCGACTCAACAACCATTTCCCAAAATAATTCAATATGTCGCTTGTGGCCGCACATAAAATCATGCCACAACAGTTCAGCACTGTTTCGTATTTGAGCACAAGCATCTCTTGTATGATAGTCTAAACCTTTCTTGTTTTGGAATAAGTACGAAATTCGTTTTTCTCTGTTTCTTCTGTCGTGAATCAATAAATCAAACAGTTCAACCTTATTAGGCTCAATTCGGTCCCCAGGAAGGACAAAGTAACCATCAGGTACATTTGGAAAGAGATACAATTCGTTGAACTCGTTTTCGTTCAAATATGACATTGATTTTAAAAAGTTAGATATATCAGTGTCTTTTAAAGACGGTTCGATGAATTTTATTTTCTTAAGTACCTCATTTGTGACAACTGCATTTGTAACTAAATAATGAGCTTTATTTTTTGTCAGCATAGAAATTTTGGTCGAAAATTCTTTTGTATCCCTAGATTTCTTTTCATAGATTTTGAATAACTTTGATCGTACCGTATCTGTTTCATTCTTTCTTCCTGTAGGGACTGGTTCTGTCGAAACAGACTGGCCTGAATCAGAAGCAGTATCCGTTGTTACAACAAACTGACGGGAATCATTTGATGGACCTGGTCTCACATCATTGGTTGTATTGTTGCCTGACTGAGTACCGACCGAATTGGATTTGCTAGCTGTTATTCGCTTTCTTTTATCACTGCTATCTTTGTGTTTGACCATGTTGCACAGCTTTGATGACATTGGAAGCAGACAGCTGGGCTTTGTAAAAAGAGCGCTTCCATTTTCATCAAATAAATCAAAATCGTCAGTTAATATTTCAAATATTTCCTCAAGTTTTTCATCTGAAACTGTTTCGTTTACCCCAAGAATTGTTCTAACCATAGGGTCAGATGCAACTATCTCCATTCTTTTGGAATACCATGGGTACTTAAAAATGTTCTTAATATCTTTTTGTTCCAGCAATAAATTGGACAAAAAACTAAAATTTCTGTCAAGGACTTCATATAGACTGGATGAAAAAAGAAACCATTTTTGTTCTACTTTAAAGTAAGTTCCTTCTCGTCGTTTAATGTATCCATGAACATAATTTTGTATAGGCTCCCTAACCACACCTCCAGGACGCGAATAATCTAACTGTATTTTGTTTTGCTTCATATATTCTTCCAATAAATTAGAAGAGGGAAACAATAGTTTCAGCTTTTTTACTACCTCAGCTAATGATGGACTGCTCGGCCAGCAACCGAGCTCGGCAGATCTTTCCTTTTCAAATTTTTCATATAATTTAATATCGGATGCCTTGGACCAATCTTCAGTAAATCTATGACCAAGATAAAAATCAGACATATTGGTTTTTCCTGTCAATATGTCAGTTGCATATTTTAATATATCCCTTTCTAGTTCTGATTTGGTATCCCTATCTGTTACACGTTGTATGTAGTCCAACGCATCTATGATGTGAGCAGGAAAGTCTGCAGCAAGATCATCTTTGATCTCTGAAAATAATTGATTGATTTTACCTATCTGTTCATATGATAGCATTTTATGTATTTTCACAAAATTTAGACCGACTGTCATTAAAATGTCTTTTCCCTCCTTTCCCTGAACAAGGTTGTCTAATTTACAATTCTTGGGTATAAATCCGGTAATGTGTGAAATATAAGCATTGATATATGTTGTTCTGTGGGTTAGAATATCAGTGGTGTGTTTACATATAATTTTAGTAGAAACATTTGGACCTGCAATGTTTAAAAATTTTATTTCTTTTATTCTACTCCCATCCATGAAATGTTTCGCTGCTTGTGTCCTCAAAACTGGGTCTGCTAAATGAATTATTTTGTTGAAAGCATTACCCTGACATAGAAAGAAAGCCTCTGGCCATGTATCTTGGGAGACACTACTCATTTTCATGCGAAAGTATATTAAAAGATTTCCACTTCTTCTGTCGCCTGGACATTCTACTCCCTTTTCACAACCGATCTGTCGGCCTATTTGGGAAGCAATAATGTTACTTTTTTTCTTCGAAATGCAAACAAAGTGCATACATGAAAAGGTGTCATATTTGTTCCTTTTTAAACTTTTTCGTTCTAGTTCATCGTCGTTTAAAAAGAATTTCTTTAAAATGTCACGAAACTGCTCTAAATTACTGACAACACTACAACCCGGAATTCTCTTTTCGTCCAGTTTGTATATAGACCAGAAGCAACTCGCAGTATCTTCTGAATTTGAAAATTCCTCATTTTCTAATTCCTCTTCTCCTTCATCTTCTTCTCCTTCTTCTTGTTCACTTTCGTCTTCTTCTCTTCTTTCTTCTTCTTCTGCTACTTCTATTTCTGTTGTTTCGGCTTCTATTCCTGTTGTTGTTTCGTCCTCTATGTCTGCCACTTCTTCTATATCTGGTGTTTCTTCTTCCTCTCTTTCATTATCTAACTCTTGTTCTTCTTCTTCTGTGTCTATCTCTATCGAACATTTGCTTAAATCATGACGAGGTGAATAGTTAATGTCTTCATCCTCTATCGACTTTTCGCTTTCATCATCACGAGGTGAATTGCATATTCGTTCCTCCTCAGCATTAATACAAGTGTTCTCATGTCGATCATAATTTACTGTGGAAACTTTTAAACTAGTTTCATTTCGACTTTTTTTAGGCGAACCACTAAAGTACTCGTTCACACGGGTTTGTCGTGAAAATAACTCTGTAATTAAAAATAAAAGACCGAAATAATATTAAATAGTTAACAAGTAAAAAAAAATACATTCATCTCATGTTGATAAAGAATATATAAAAGACATCTAAATTTTATATTAATTTATTTGTGGTATTTACCTATTCCTTATCGTGACATTCACTTACATTAACTACTATAAAGGACTTATAAAATTCCATTAAAGGTGATGAATGCATAGCAGGATATGTTTTCTCTTTCATCTACGTCCCTGGGGGCACTCCCTTGCATTTGATTGGATTTTGTGTTTCGAACAAAAGTTTTGTACTCCGAGTACTTTGTAACGTTTTATGACCGATACATTACGGTTGTACTGAGCCCCCACACATACACATACCGTTAGTCCAGATGTCAAATACATTGAAGACACCAGTCTTACCATAAAAGGACATCAACATATTGGTATCGCAAATGTTTTTAAACTCGAACATCGTGTGATAACGATTGCAATATTGGTAATTAAGAGCTCGCATCAATGATTACCGTATGTGGTTTCCGTAATTTGTTAACATAGCCAATACACAATTTTGTTGAAAACAGGTTTATTGATAGATAAAGACAAGTTGCTTCTTTGTCATTTGTATTATTATTCATTTGATTGATGATATTATTAAATAATTGCTCTTATCATATAAAATTAGTGACACCATGGGTTAAATATACTCCAGTTCGTAATATATTCATGGTATTAGTAAATATAACTCAAGAAATATTGGTAAAAATGTCAATATACGAAATATAAAATGTAACAGAAACTGTTGGACTTGATTGTTTCTATCCGTGTAAAATTTGAACGACGTTGTTGTTATGAGTTATCGCATTATACCAAACGTGACAAAATGTTAGGTGCTTTATTCATAATATGCAATAATAAATAAAAAAGTATTATTTTCCTTTTCTGGCACTGGGCCGATTACACTGCTGATGGAATGTTAGTTCATGATGGTATCATGAATTGTATAGTAAGTGCTTCGGTACTAACATGAATTTTAACAAAATTTTCGGGAATTATCCGTTGATAAATTAAAACTTAGATGAAATTTGCCCTTTATTGTTCACTTTGGTCCATTCGCTCTTCACGTGATTAGGTCGTATACATCCTAGGCTTTCAAATGTTTGAGTTTGGGCATTCTTGATCAAATTTAATCCAAAAAGAACTTCGGAAGCACGAAATTAATAAAGTGTAATTTCCATACAAAGAAGGTCTCTGGCCGTCTATTTTGGGAGACATTACTCATTTTCACTCGGAGTATATTAAAAGGTTTCTACTTCTTATGGCGCATTGAAATCTCCACTCCCCCTTCATATCAGATATAAGTAGTTCTAGTTGAATGCAGTCACATTGCTTTTTTTATTTAGGCATACATACAAAGTGTATACATGAAATGTGCCATATCTCTTCTTTTTTAAACGTTTTTGTTCTATTATCCTCTAAATAAATATTCTTTAAATTGTCACGAAACGTATTAAAATGATTGACACCACTACAATATGGAACCAGCGACGTTGTTGATGTATGTGGATATCGCAGACTACTACACATGGCAAAATATTAGGTACTTTTTCATGAAATTTGTATCACATGATTGGCCCTTTTTATTTAATTACTTCTCTAAGTTGTAAGTTCAAATGTATAGATCAGATTTATGGATAATCAATTTGTTTCCGTCTTGGTGCTAAGAATAACGTATCATTTAAATTTTCTTTTAGCGGATATTTTCAACATGGTTTTTATCTCGATTTGCTTCTTCTTAATTGATTTGCGATATTTGAACATCGGTAAACTACTTTTACCCTAGTAATTAATAATACTTACTAATTTCAAAAGAATTTGACCAAAAAGTAAAGTTAAAGGTGAAATAAAAGATAAATCTAACTTAATTTTTCAATCTCCAAGCTGGTTTTCTATTTAAAAGAGAGGCGAAAGATACCAAATGCACATTCAAATTCATAAGTCGAAAATAAATTGACAACGCCATGGCAAATTAAGAAAAAAAACTAAAGAAAAAGCAACATTATACAAAACACAACATAGAAAACTAAAGACTGAGAAACACGAACCCCACCAAAAACCGGGGATGATATCAGGTGCTCATGAAGGGTACGCAGATCCTGCTCAACAAGTCGCGAACAATCTAGAAAATAGTTGTTTTATATATATCCATAATATCCGGTTTCGTTCCGGTTTTTTTCAAGCTAAAAAGGCCGAAAATTTCCAAATTGACAATGTTCATTTGAACACGAAAACGCAAATAACGTGTAAAATCACGTTTATTCGGACAAATTGTTGATGAGACTTAGAGATTTGTATATTTGCATTTATATTTTTTCAGAGTATGTGTAAAACTATTTTATGGATGTTGAGTACTTATGACCGTAATGCAAACAAGCAAAGTATTCAAAATTTCGCCATCTGTACTGAGCTGTCTCAGGTCAGGGGAGTGTATGCTAGGTACGGAAAAAAACATTTACAAAAATACCGACCTCCAAGGAAAATTTCAAAGTCCACAAAACCTGACAACATAATCAGATGCTCGACTATATCAACCAACAAAACGAATGGAAAACGACTGTACTCTTCACTCAGAACAGGAATTTTCGGAGAAAAAATGTGGCTGAAATCTGTTTTATAGCTAGTTTAACCTCCAACTTGAATGATAGTTGTTAATAAATGTATAATAAAAATACTGAACATCAAGGCATATTCATAAAGGAGAAGTCAATAAAAACGGACAAAATCAAATTCTATTATTCAACGTTATATTGACAAAATTGGTTAACGTGACTAAAACGATTTAACCTTGGGCCATATTTAAACAAGACATGAACAACGTGGTCAAGGAGAATTTGAAATAGCAGGACCACATGCAGCCAGTCATTATAGTCCATGGATAAGCTGGATAGGCCAGGTACGGGGATGGTTCAGGATGCTCGACTATATCAACCAACAAAACGAAATGGAAAACGACTGTACTCTTGACTCAGTACAGGAATTTTCGGAGAAAAAATGTGGCTGAAACCTGTTTTATAGCTAGTTTAACCTCCAACTTGAATGATAGTTGTTAATAAATGTATAATAAAAATACTGAACATCAAGGCATATTCATAAAGGAGAAGTCAATAAAAACGGACAAAATCAAATTCTATTATTCAACGTTATATTGACAAAATTGGTTAACGTGACTAAAACGATTTAACCTTGGGTCATATTTAAACAAGACATGAACAACGTGGTCCAGGAGAATTTGAAATAGCAGGACCACATGCAGCCAGTCATCATAGTCCATGGATGAGCTGGATAGGCCAGGCACGGGGGTGGTTCAGCATAGCAAGAAAAATGGGGAGAAAGACCATCATGTATATGAACCTGATCATGTTTAAGACCTTTATATGGATTCCTGTCAGGAATTCCCCAAAGATCAGAGAAAAAATCTAATGACTTCACTGTGCAAATACAGTGTTGTTTTTTCCAAGACTTGGTTGGGACAAACAAGCATGAAGGTCCATTTTGTCGGTCGAGTCGATTGTTGGTGATAATAAGGTATGTTGTACTGTTCAGTATAATTGATGATTCATCAGTATATTTGATGATTCATGTTATCTTTTTATGTATCATGCAATCGACGCTGAGAATATCATCTTGATTTGATGACAAGGAAGAAATTTTCCTCAGGCTTTTGATACGATTAGTGTTGCTAAGTCTTTGTTTTTCTTTGATGTGTTTTGTAAACTGTTGTTGTCTGTTCGTCGTTTCTGCATTTTTGCCATGGCATTTTCAGTTTGTTTCCGACATATGAATTTTAGTGTCCCTATGGTATCTTTCGCCTCTTTTTACCTCAGGAAAATGATCGATGTGTGTGTGTGTGTCACAAAGGGGGGCCTAGTCATAGAAACATACGGCTGCGTATTGATGTTTTTTATCTTTCGTTTAGTTAACTTGGCCACAGCAAAAAGGAGCCACAGGAACAGTTGACCAGACGGTTGGAGGAGCATGGCCAATTCAATATGTATAGGAAAACATAAGTCAGTGCCAACATTATATTTCAGACTCCATCTTTCACATGTCAAATCTGCGAATACTGCCAGAGAACACACCGAAAGTAGGCGAAGTTTTATTTGTGAAGTTGATGAAGCATTTCCCCTAATCAGGAAAAAACAGACGAAAGAATAAAGATGCAGCGATGATTCACTTGTTTTTTTATTCCGGAGACATATTCAACATGCAACAGCCAGCTACTTAACCAGAATTATCCGTTCAGTGCACCACGTTCTGGAATCCGCATTGGAGACGGGAATAGTAACGAAGTAATTGAACAAGCTATAAAAAAGGACCAGTTGTCACCAGGTAATGACTCGACATCACTCATAACAGGGATGGATTTTATTTTTAATTCTCCATCAGACAGAATGTAGACAATTCATATCATTGATTTGTGGCAGCCTTTGCTTAAACTGACGAAATATCAATATTTGGATTCAGAGAGGAGAAAATGAAGACGGAACAAATAAAAGGCAACAGTTGTTGACCGATGTTCAAACCCATTTAAATGATAGTGATCCATACCTTAGATTCCTGTTGGATGGGGAAGGACAAAAATGAACCTTGGAACATTACTTGTTTTAGCCTAACTTGCAATGGGACTACATGATGAAAGAAATCAACACGTTTGTGCTCGCTTGTGATACCTGTAACAAAAACACATAGAGACTACAAGGAGCCTGAGTTGTTTTGTTCAAGCTAGAACCGATTCTTATAGGCCAATGACCAAAAAATGGTTTTGAAAATTTACCAGATGAGATGTAATACATGTAGTTTATGAAGTCAAATTTTCAATGTGCATGCCAGGATTTAAAAAAAATAGTTCACTGGCTTCAGCATTAACATTTTTCTTCGCTTGTCAAAAGAGGATAGATTAGGTTTTGTCTATTGCATTGCACAGCACCTGTGCATTCATTGCACGTAAAATAAATAAGGAATTGTCTTTTATCTAAAAAGACTCATTGGATCACTTTCAAACTAGTCAGACATTTTAAAGAAAATGGGTAACCTTATATAGTATGTTCTAGGAATGTTTGTATCGAGCATTACAAGTATTATCTTTTTCCTAAATAAATACACTTCCATAAAGCACAGAGAATACAGTACAAATATCCTACTTTATAGCCAGCAGTAGAGGCTGCAAAGCACCATGGGTTTAAGGAGAGACACATCGATCATGTATCTGCACTTGATGTGCTGATTTGTTTTCTTGTCCTGCTATTTAAAGAGGTAATATCTACGGTTTTCACTAAAATAGGTATACAATTAAATTTTTTTTTCGAGAATATAGCATATACATTTTGTATATAAAATACGAATGACATGTATTTTGGTGTCATTTCAACGTTTTATCTTATCGAGAAATTGAATATTTAACAGTCCGACTAAAACTCCTTTGAAAACGTTCTAATAAATATTAACACGTATTTACCAAAACATCTTTAAAAATTATAAAACCGGCATCTTTCTTTCACGAATTCGGCTAAAAAGAAAAAAGTAAAATAGCAAAAATACCGAACTCCAAAGAAAATTCAAAGCGGAAAGTCCCTTTTCAAATGGCAAAATCAAAAGCTCAAACACATCAAACGAATGGAAAACAATTGTGACTTGGTACATGTATTTCCTTAAGTAGAAAATGGTGGTTTAATCATGGTTTTATAGCTAGCTTGTATGGCAGTCACATAAAATTCCATTATATTGGCAACAATGTGTGAACAAAATAAACAGACATATTGGTAAAAATGTCAAAATTCGGGGTACAACAGTCAACATTGTGTTATAATCTTAATCACTATAAAAACAAACAACTATGTCAACAAAGAAAAACAAAACGGCATATAGACAAAGCACATAAGCAAAAATGAAAGACAAGAATACAAAAAAGACCATAGCACAATAACACAATGGCGGGATGTATAAATACCGAGACACGCCAAAAGGTAATTACCAAAAATTGAATAAATAGTAAAGGTAAGTAATATACAAAGACAAATAAAGGAACACTTGATTAAATGTTAAACAACGTCGGTAATATAATCTATACTTCAAGACTAGCATTTATTATTCAGAAGTTTGAGTAAAATATGCCAGCGATCACGATCCATATAGGGAAATGATGTTACCGGAGATGTTCAGGTAAAAAAAAATATTAGTAACGGAATTACAAAATACTGTTTAAATGTATGCGTAATCAAAAATATCAAAAATATGAAATAAAACAAATACGGTGATGCTAAAATGCACTGTCAAGTTGATATCCATCCAAGAATTACCATACATGCGTGTCCGTTTTTTATTAGTGGGGTCCTTAAAGTGTTCATAGCTTAGCTTTGAATGCGTCCTTGTCATGTTTTAAATTTATATGCGGTACACTTTTTATCAATCTTATATGCGTGTTCCGTTCTTAATTACCTTGCTATATTATTAATTCTAATATGACGTTCTTCAAACGCTTTGAGTACACACCCGTGGTAAAATATGAATATATTAATACGCCAACGTCATGGATTGTTTGGGCTGCTCCAATCTTAGTCCCACATTGTTTGCTTTTTAATGAATGAGTTAACCGATGTCAAACGGTGTAAATGACGTCATTGAACGATGACCTAAGAATATAAGCATTCTACGGGAAAATGCACGAATTTGAAACTAAAAGTCGTCAACACATGGAAACATAAACAAACGGTGAATTTGTTGAAAGCCCATTTTCTTTGATAAAAAATTCTTAAATAAAAGTAAGATAGATCAATCAACTGTGTACAATTTGTTATTGTAAATCATTTAAGCATGTCACTTATTCAGTTTTTGTCTCGTGTTTTACGTCAATAATAATAGTGTGTTCGATTACGAGAACAGCAAACATTTCCCATCACCTGGCGGACACGAAACCATAGACCAAGAATAACAGGAATAGTCAAAGTGACTGGGTTAGAGCCGTAGAAAGAGTTTTTTGGGTATCAATTGGCAAACTGTTTGTTTTTCGATACATAAACTTTAATCTAGAATTTACCAATTGTTAAACTCATTAATTCTACTAATTGATTAAGGTAGATGGGGGTCTAAATTAAAATCCATAGAATTTTTTAATAATTTGTCTAAATTAAGTTTATGTCATGTTTTTTTTTTTTCAAAAATATAATACCGGAGTCGTTTTTCTTGCTACATAATAAAATAGGTAAATTCACAACACATTCTTTTATAAGAATTACTTTATCTGAGTTATCTACCCTTACGTGGCAAAGTTGGAAAAAAATGAATAAAACTAAAATATTCTGTTTTTTTGTAAAATACAGCCCTAAATATGACAAAACACATAATTTTCTATATCAACATGAAAAGTCTTACACCTGAATTACATACTACTCTCGAAATTTGCACATTTCATTAAAGATCTATACCGATTGTTATCTGCTATTTCAAATTTCAAGATGGAGGAAGACATCCCAGTTACCTTTAGAATGTGTCGAGTAAATGAAATGAATTAAATTCGAATACTGAATTGAAATTACAATAATCAGGTTATACTTAATTCGAATTTAAAGAAAAATTATTCGGGACATTTAGTTTACTTTTATCGGAAAAAATGTCTTTTTATATGATTTTATGAAAGTTAATGATAAAATATTTGAGATACGTAAGATTTATTTTTGCAAATTCCAATCGTGTTGTATATTTAAAGAAATATGTGCAAGCAAAACCAAAGATCTGAATAAGATGATTCCAGGAGTTACATTTCTTCTTAATCTTTGATTTGCAGCTCTTGAATTATCTATAAACAGCCTTTAAATAATCAGATTTATCACAATCACTTGAATTTTTTATCGTCGAACATTTTCTTAAATCATATAAATGTTATTGTACAAGTAAAAAATTTAATTTTATCACCTGTTTCTTTGTGCTGTCTTTTCTTCGGTGTTTTCTTTTCCAATTGTTTTTTGGAATCATCGCCATCTTTCTTTGCCTTTACTATGTCTTTTCTCATCTTTTCCTTCTTTTTTCTAACCCCTGCTCTTTCTTCTGTTTCAGCTCTGAAACTTCATCTGATTCATCTTCACTACTTGTGACATTAGTTTCCACCACATCCGTAGTTGCCGCCATCTTCAGTTCAACTGTTCTTACGCATTATTCACATCAAAATCCCCATCAAGCTGCTTGGTTAAACTCAGCAGATAATCCTGGACTATGAAGCTACTTGTAATCCACAGGTTTGAATGAATCGAAAGGCTAAAATTTAGGCAATTTAAAAATATTTTAGCTGAAAAGTATAAAATATTTCATTGAAATTCAAACTACTCTTCCGACACAATATTTGGAATATGATGTAGATGCAAAAACATTCTGCAGCTTGGAGAAAATCTAATGAAGAAGAAACAGTGTTTTATAGCTTACAATTTTCCAGACAACAGTGTGTTCATGACAATTGTCATCATACTGAATAGATAATAGACCAGATCATCATTATTTTGTATATTCTATAAATGACCACAGTTAAAGTTACTCGACATTGGAGTTCTTTCATGCCAGGAAAACTTAAATTGAGGCTAATAATTACTGAAGTAAAACCAACTAGTGCACTGAAGATTTTAAGAAGGCTGATATATTACCAGTGCAATAATACCAACAAAATATGAGATGTGAAACGAGATTTTATAAGATGTTACCACATTTTCTTCACATATAAGTAAACGGTATTATCGTGTTTCAACTATCACAACAATGACCTTAACCATTATAATAAGATCACCAAATTTCTATTTCTTAAACACAGCTGAGAGATTGTTCCTTTGTGAAAAAAAAACCATACAGGTTGCACTTTGTAAATACAGCTGTTTCTCAAACCACGCCTCTTTTGGGGAGATATAGAATATTCATAGATAATTAATTTTGTTTATATACTGGTTCCCAGTTATGATCTCTATGTTTCATATAATAGAGACATAACTTTGGAATGTTACCAGTAAATATACATATGCATATTGTTTATATTGAAATCTGTGGTAATCCTACAGTCAAGGTAGGGATAATTTAGTGTTAGTTTAACCTCTTAGAAGTTCGGGGCATATAAACGTTGAAAATATGCCGCACAGCCCTATATTTTGACCTTTGAAAAAAATTGTAGTGCATATGAACTTTCCATTCTAGGGTATGATTTTTTTCAAAACTTCATAGTAAAAGTGGTACAGTTTTAGCCGTAAAAAGAGTTCCTGTGGGAAATTGCATTGTCAATATTTACAGAAATGCAACCTACAGTGATATTTCATGTATATTCATGGGTTATTTTGAAAAATGTAATTTCTTTTCGGAGATACACAACATTCAATCAATTTGTTTACAGAATCTGACTAAGCTACATGTATAGTCATTCCAACTTAGTTTAAAGTTACCCAAATGGCAATTGAAGGAGCAAGGAATGGTGTTTGAGTGCTTTTATTTTTTCCGATGTGACGCCTTCACTTGTTTGTGCTATTTAGTTAATATTCATCATGTAACAAATTGTGCATGATTCAAAAATAATTCTGTACATGAATTTTTGCATTTATATACAGTGTGAGGTAACTCTACTTTCATGTACAAAGAACAAAAAATCTTGTTGTAACTTACAATTATAGTTTCTTATAAAACTAACCTTTTTTATGGATCTTTACATACTTAATAATACCTGAAATAAATAAGATATATTTTACCTACAATATATTTCACATTAATTTGAAAAATAAGACAAGGCATTTAAACACGTTTGTGTTTTTGGTACGTTTATTTTTTTATATTATAGCACGGAATACTTTGTTTAACCATACAAATGATGTAAATTGACTAGTTCAGGTAATACATCCAGAATCTGAGGTTAGGGTGCAAACTTTATGATATTGATAGGTGGGCGAAAATATTTTTGATTTTTTTATGCAAAAAAATATATTTTTATTGTGCAGCTCCGAATCCACGCCTGTCATTGTTATCAGATATAAATGTCTGTAAAATAATGAAAACTGACTATGAAATATGTATACTCTATCATTGAAGTCTTGTAATACTTTATATTTAGTGTAAGACAAGATAGCTCTTTTCTGGATTCATTTTGAATTTGATCTGAAAGATAATAATAATCTATTAACATATATTTCCATGATGGATGTTAAATAATATACATAAGGATCTCTTCATCATGATCCAGATTTTGTATGAAAGACAACAATCAATTGATGTTTAAAATAGTGTTTTGATACGAAGTAATAGTATATAAATAAAGAAAACTGCAAAATAGGTAAACTGTTGCGATACAAACGAAAAGTTTAAGATAGAATGACATTGACCTGCTATTTATAACTTTTGAAATTGAAATATTACAAAAATACCGAACTCCAAGGTAAAATAAAAAAAGGGGAAGTCCATAAAAATGACAAAATCAAACATTATAAACAAACGGAACGAGTGGAAAACAACCATCAAATTCCTCACTTAGTATAGTCCTTTCCGAAGAAAATGGTCGGTTGAACCTGGTTTTTTAGCTAGCTAAACCGCGCACTTATATGACAGTGGTTAATGGTTCCGTTTTATTGACAAAATTGGTTGAGCAACCCAAAACGACATAATAGGTTGACACGGGTTATGTTCTTCTCATATATGTTATGATGGTATGATACTAAACCCCTAACGGGAAGGATTGTGCCTGATATTCATATGATGAAGACATAATCTTTCAATCAGTTTAATTGAAGTCTGGAGCTGGCATGTCAGTTAACTGCTAGTAGTCTGTTGTTATTTATGTATTATTGTCATTTTGTTTATTTTCTTTGGTTACATCTTCTGACATCAGACTCGGACTTCTCTTGAACTGAATTTTAATGTGCGTATTGTTATGCGTTTACTTTTCTACATTGGCTAGAGGTATAGGGGGAGGGTTGAGATCTCATAAACATGTTTAACCCCGCCGCATTTTTGCGCCTGTCCCAAGTCAGGAGCCTCTAGCCTTTGTTAGTCTTGTATTATTTTTAATTTTAGTTTCTTGTGTACAATTTGGAGTTTAGTATGGCGTTCATTATCACTGAACTAGTATATATATTTGTTTAGGGGCCAGCTGAAGGACGCCTCCGGGTGCGGGAATTTCTCGCTGCATTGAAGACCTGTTGGTGACCTTCTGCTGTTGTCTGTTCTATGGTCGGGTTGTTGTCTCTTTGACAATTCCCCATTTCCATTCTCAATTTTAATGCGACAATTATTATGCTCCAGCAGCCAAAACTTTGTCAATATACATCACAGACATAACATATAACACATCTAACTAAAAAAATCAAACAGAATACAAAAATCTAACAAAGACATTTACAAAAATGTTGGTGTAGGTGATAGTAATTTGACAAAGATGCCGATGAAAAACATTGTGTAGATTATATTACATACCATATATAGTATACACTTTCTCGATAAATTACAAATTCAGTTAAATATAAATTCAAGGGTCAACAAAATGGAAAGAACAGGGTAAAAACGTCCGCATCGCACCTCAGGACACTCCTGCACAAGGAATGGTCAAAGTCAAAAACCCGATAGCAATGGCTTCCGAATAAACATAACTTATCTTTCTACATGCATAGATGTGGTATGATTGACAACATGTGAAACAGTTGAAATGTGAAAACCAACAGACTGATTTATGACAAACACCGTTATTAAAACACTTGCGTGTATTTATTCACTGTATTAGATTTATCATTATGTTTGGATGTTAAATATAATGTGTTGTTAATTTAACAAATGAAAGAAGATAATTTCTCTTCTCGAGATATTCAAAGAATTTAAATTTGAAAAACCTAAAATTGTGTGGTTTAGAAAACATATTCAAAGTGTATCAAAGCTGTCTACAAATATATAGCTGTGTTTCGAAGATATACACTCTACAGATTTATTATTAAAATAAATGTTCATGATTAGGTATTAGACTTCAAGATTTTCCATCAGACCTGATAGTTAGGGCTTTTAATGATAATCCGTCGTCCCATTGTCTGTATCACTCTGATCAGCTCTTGATAAAATTGCATATCACGGCTTTGTGACGTCAAATACGATGACCTGGCCTTAATAACTTTGATCAATGACATATCACCGACGTCATAATGAATAAACCGACGTTGATAAGTTTGACCCGAACATATCAAGTCAACTTCCGGTTTGCTGGTGAAACAAAGAAAATACTTGTTCCTATCATGCAAAAAACGCTCGACACAATATGGAGCCTTTTTTAACTCGTTCGCTGCGCTCACTCGACAAAAAGCTTCATATTTTGACTCGCAGCTGATATTTTGCAATATAAATATGCAGACAATCTGATAATCGGTACATAAATAAAGGCAACAGTAGTATACCGCTGTTCGAAATTCATAAATCGATTGAGAAAAAAACAAATCCGGGTTACAAACTAAAACTGAGGGAAACACATCAAATATAAGAGGAGAACTACGACACAACAGAAAGACAACATCAAAATGTAACACACACAAAAACGAACTATAATATAACAATGGCCATTTTTCTGACTTGGTACAGGACATCTTAAGAAAAAAATGGTGGGTTGAACCTGGTTTTGTGGCTAGCCAAACCTCCCGCTTTTATGGCAATGTTAAATATAACATTAAAATGACAACATTACATGACAGGACTACAATACAAATAAATGGGAGAACATATAGGACAGAGAAACGTACGAATAATAGCTAACAAAAGGTACCAGTTTTAAAATTTAATACGCAAGACGCGCGTTTCGTCCACACAAGACTAACCAGTGACGCTCAGATCAAAAAAGTACGAAAGCTAAAACCAGTACAAAGTTGAAGAGCATTGAGGACCAAAAGTTTCAAAAAATTGTGCCAAATACGGCTAAGGTTATATGTCTGGGATAAGAAAACCCTTAGTATTTAGAATAATTCATACTTTTGTAAACAGTAAATTTATAAAAAGGACTATATAATAGATATACATGATAACACCGAAGTGGTGACTAACTACAGAATAAAAACGGATACATAAAACAACATAAACCAGCACATAAAAATTCACAGCCGAGTTAGCCAAAAAGATCAACGCTAAAAAAAGGTGACGTCACATTTGAATTTCTGAAATTTCCCCAAAATAGGATAGAATTAGGATAGAATTCAAGATTTGGTTTATAATACTCATATAACATTTATCAATAACAATGAAAATTACAATACTAATTAATATAAAATGTGGTAGTGATAAGATAATTAATAGTATTATCTAGCTATGTCGGTGTTTCTTCTAAATCAAACTGTAAACCAAATATATCGTATAAAATCTAATTAACGAACAGGGTGATTAATAATCTTTACCATAACACACGAATACAACAGAAAAAAATAAGATTTACAACTACAAACGATAAGACATTTGACAAAATCCGATGAGAATAACAAATATAACATCAAAACTAAATACATGAATTTTGGATAGAAAGGTACCGTGACACGTCTTATAGCAAAACAGTCACAATCGGGAATAAGTCACGTTCGGTAATTAAAAGATCAGACGACGTAATGTCAAACCACAATCTAACACGTGGTAAAAATGTCCTTAGTTAGTTTGGACAAAGACACATCGTATGGATCGACCAATTCGTGATGGTGTCCGTAAAATTTACGGAGTGTCATTTTTAATCTGTCCTCCTCATAACTTTGTTGGAGCAGTTTCTGCGTTAGGAGCACACTCCTGTATATGAAGTCCGTATAGTGTGAACATGCACGAGCATAACGTATCAACTGAGATATGTAAACACCATACGAAGGGGCAGATGGTATGTTACTGCTAAGAAATGGAAAATTGATAATTGGGATGTTGAAATCGTCCCGTTTATCATAGATTTTCGTGTGAAGTCGTCCATCTGTGTCAATATTGAGGAAAGATCAAGGTATGAAGCAGTCCTTCTAGTATCAGTAGTATCCTTAATTTCAAGTTTACTGGGATATATGAGATGTAAGTATTGGCTGAAATATGGGTTATTCAATGATAGGACATCATCAATATATCGGAAAGTAAAATGATAGAATTTCGCAAGGTGCTTTTTCTTTTTGTCTTTTAGAAGGTTCTGAATGAACTCTGCTTCATACGAGTACAAAAACAAATCGGCCAGTAGGGGTGCACAATTAGTACCCATTGGAATACCGACTGTCTGTTGAAATATAAATCCTCCAAACTCAACATTTTTAAATGGTCTATGCAATATTTGTTCATACTATTATATACTTTTTGATAGTGAAAAATTGAATATTGATTTATCTATCAGTTTAGAAATTAGTCCATATAAATTGAAGGTGTATTTAAAAAGACGTCGACATCAGAAAGGCAAACGATAAAAAAAAATCAGCAAATGGAGGAACGAAACTTACTGGTCATTTGCTAAATAAAACTCCCAAAAAAAATGAAGGCAGTTACTCAAAAATATTTGACGTTGGAATAGTCTGGACATAAACCTGGATATTTTGTAACGGACGACAATTTATATTTTTGGCGTGGGGAACAGGTGTTGGGAGTGAAGAAGGATAACATGACATTTTAACTAATCATCGTTGTGGGAACATTTGAAGTCCCTTAAGGTTTTCTGCGGTTGAAGAAAATAGACTGTAGAGTGACATACCCTGGCTCGTTTCCTCAAATTAAGGCTATATTGATCAGATCTTAGACAGATTTATCAGTCAATATAAGGACATAGATAGTAAACTGGACATCGCTTGTAAACAAACAAATTATAGCTTAGTACCATCGATGATAATTTTATACAAATACACCTGAAATATGAAAAACAAATTAAAATTTTATAAAAATACAATGATTAAAAACATGTTTTCTGCAAACGAGTCCCTGGGGAGGGAGGAGTGATTCTCAATTTCCTGAGAAGAAATTTCTAAATTACTTGATGAAAAAACTATTTCAGAAGGGAAGTGAACATGTAACATGTTTCCATTGATATTAGTATTCTTTCCAAACACACGTTTTCCCTATTTGATAATATCTAAATATAGTTTTCATATTTAAAAATCGCCAACCTCCTTGGTACGGTGTATTTTTGAAAGTGAACAATATAATTATTGTGTCTAAGTTAAGGCTCGATATTTACTTCAATCTTGGAAAAAAATTCCTTCTGAATATTCTTATCAGTCTTACGTACTCGGTGTCAAATATACAATTGCATAAGGTTGCACAAATGGGTCAATCTGTTCTTTCTTTTGCTTCAGTGGTCATATAATAAAAAATGTTACTATATTGCAACGCGGGAAATGGTCCAAGTCACAGAACTCCTCCAAAAATTCAGAAATTCAAATGGCGGTAGAGTATGTGCTCAAGAGAGTATGATGACAAATAAATACTATCAAGTATGAAAGCTTTTGGATGAAATGTTTTTGAAAATTAGCTTGTTTGATACAGACAGAAAGACGGCATGTGGCAGGGGTCAATAAGATTTATCCACAACCTTAAAACGAATATACCTGCTATTTTTTTTTTAATACCCATTATGGATACACCATTTGGTATATGCTTCCGATTTGCTAATGAGTGTTTCATTCTTTTCTTTAAAATAATGTTGTTTTTTTTAATAGCTATTGGGTGGTACTAAAAAGATTATATGCAAAGAAGAATTGACCGTTGACAAATGTTGACACAATTTAACTCAAATACGTGAAACTTAGAAGGAAAATGTTAAGACAGTTGTCCAAAAAGAGAATGGTTACATTTAATCCTGGTTTTTATTATGTTCTTCAAATTCGTATTTTATTTGGATTTCTTACTGTTTTGTTTCTAGCACCACTGATGACAACACATCATTGGCGAACTAAATTTTAAGCCTGGTATCTTAAATGTTTTTTTTTTTTTTATTTTTCAATCCGCAATTGCTGCTGTCAGTGTAAAAAGTAAAATAACAAAAATACCGAACTCCAAGAAAATTGAATACGGAAAGACCATTGTCAAATGGCAAATCAAAAGTTCAAACACATCAAACGAATGGAAAACAACTGTCATATTCCTGACTTGGTACAGGCATTTCCTTATGCAGAAAATGGTAGAAAATGGTGGATTAAACCTCGTTTTATAGCTAGCTAAACCTCTCACTTGTATGACAGACTCATAAAATTCCATTATATTGGCAATGTGTGAACAAAACAAACAGACATAATAGGTAAAAGTGCCAAAAATAGGGAAACAGCAGTCAACATCGTGTAATCCTTATAAAAACAAACAAATATGTCAACAAAGAAAACCAAATTGCATATAGACAAAGCACATAAGTAAAAATGAAAGACAATAAAACAAAAGATGACCATACCACAATAACAAAATGGCGGGATGTATAAGTATAAATGCAGAATTATCGCCCTTTAACTACGGTCTAGTGGTGAATAGCTCTGACGAAAAAATCATAAAAAGTATCTAGTTATAGAAGAGTAAGTTATCAGAACAATGTCTAACAACCAAAACATGATACCAGAACAGCAAAATGAAAACAACAAGCAAGATTCAGATGGTAAACAATCAGAAATTGACAAGTCTCAGTCCGTTGGTAGTGACAATACTTCGGCGTCATCTTTTTCCAATGTTGTCAAACATCATAGTGTAAATTATCAGGCCTACAGCGATCCTGAACCAAAGCTTAAAGGAGTAAAACCTATCTTTATAAAAGAATCAGACTTCTTTGGCAACAAAACTCCGCCTAAAGAACTTTGGATAACACGTAGAAATATACAAAGCACTTGAACATAAGATAAAACCACAGTTTGTAAGAGGCATTCAAAGAATAAAACAAATGTGGAGAATCTACCTAGACAGTGAGGTAGACAGAATGCTGTTGCTTACAGAAGGCATCACATTAAGAAACAAGTCGGTACCTCTGCATTCCCAGAACCCATATTACCAAAAAGATGATTACATAACAACAAAAGTACGGGTAAAAAACATCCCACTATCAGCAGATGATGGTCAAATTGACAGAGAATTAAGACAAAAGAAACATAGAGGTTTTCACTATAAACAGAGAAAGACTCAGGGTTGATAACTTGGTAACCAACTGCTGGACAGGAGACAGAGTAGTCATATGCAAAAAATTTGACAAACCACTCCCAAGGTTTCTTACAATAGGTCAATACACAGCAAGAATATATCACTTTGGTCAAATGAAAGATACAGACATGTTCTTGTGCAACAAATGTCAACTGAAAGGTCATAATATAAAAAACTGTCCAAATGAATGGAAATGCAGACTATGCAATGAATATGGTCATAAGATGTTTGACTGCCCAACCTTTTTGGCAAAGAAGATGGGAAAAAATTCTGAAACAGAAAGAGATGAGCAACAAGAAACAACAACAGCTAATGCTGATGAAAATACAAATACAGAAGAAAGCCAACAAATTCAAGCTCTTACAGAAAATAACAAAAGAGATGATACTGATGAACAACCTGAACTAACAGATGGAGAAGACGAAGACAATCTGACACATTCAATGTCATTGAACAAAGAAATAACAGCAGCAGATGCAAAAAAAGAAAAAAAGAAGGCAAAAAAGTCTGCAAAAAAAGAAGGAAACAAAACTTCAAGTGATTCTTCTAAACAACAGACATCAAAACAGACAGAAACAAAAAGAGATTCTTCATCTGCACAATCTGACATTTCAAAATTTTTAACCCCAAACAGTAAAACGAATGCTGCCAAGGAAAGAGCCCCACCTACTCCCAATCAACCAGATGGGAAAAGACAATCAGTCCATCTATAAATTATAGAAACATTTTATGTATAACAAAAAAAAAACAAAAAAACAAAAAACAAATATGTATGTTTATATGTCTTGTCTCTCTTTGTATTTATGTCTGTGTGTATTTAGTATTTATAGAAAGATAATTGAATGGAATAAAGATTCCATAACAAATGTAACAAGAGTAAATATAAAAAAAAAAAGAAACGTGAAATTTTGCACATATTGCATTATACCATATATTTTCATGTATATGATACTATTAACAGAAGTATATTTGATAATACTAAAAACAAAAATTGTCAGAGATAAAAACACTTATATTAGAAAATTTAACCAGTCTTTTTTCTATTTAAAACCCTTTAGGTTTACAACTTTAATCTATAGTAGATGTACTCAACAAGATCAAAACAAAAGTAAAGATTTACTCACCTTAATAACTATTCTTAGTACATCTTCACAGCATAAATCCGATAAAGTAACTGAAAATAGAGAAAAGGAAAATATTATGCAAAAAGCAAATAAACAATGTAAAAATGTTATGAAAAACAAAATATCAAAAACAAACAGATCCGTTTCATTAGATTTCGAAATATTTGAAAATATAACCACATTACTAGCTGAGAAAATTAGAGACAGTATATAAGTTTTCCTCAGTCAAAACCATACATTTGTTTTAATTTGCACAAAGCAAAGAAATGTGTCAATTTGTAATTTTATTAATAGTTCTATGTATATGTTGTGTGATTTGTATTTCAGGTATGCAGTAATTGCTATGAACATATATTATATGTTTCAAAATTATCATCTCAATATTGGACAAATTCATTCGTGAAACAGACTATAACAATATTGTTGCAATCCAATTACACAAAAGAAAATTGATAAACGTAATCATTTTCACAGGTAACTCCCACGCTATAAAACGACGATTAAATGTGGGTGAAATAAAATGTACTTTAAAAACGCGACCCAACATAAAGTACACTTACTAATTAAAATAAACATAAAAATCAACTTTAAGTTACTTATTTTTTTTAATTAAAACATGTTAAATAACCTGCACATTTGTACAGCTAATGTAAAAGGACTTCGAGATAAACAAAAGAGATCGAGATTTTACCAATGGATAAAAAATCAGAAATGTAAAATATCTTTTATTCAAGAAACTCACTTCAATACATCTCTAGAAAACGTTCTAACTATCGAATCAGATCATTCTCTTTATTATAGCCATGGGACGACATCAAGCAAAGGGGTAGCTATATTGATTAATAAAAAAGTAGACTATAAATTAATAGATGAGCATAAAGATTTAGAAGGTCGAATAATCATGATAAATATCGAATTTGAAAATATAATTTATTCTCTTATAAACATATATGCCCCAAATATAGAATCTGAACGAAATAGCTTTTACAAAAAATTAAATGACTTTATAAACAAAAACGCAATAGGTACAATAATTTTAGGAGGAGACATGAATGATGCCCTTAAAAATGTAGATAGGAAAAATTCAAATACTCGTAAAAAAGTTAGTAAACCAGTCAATAGCCTAAAAAATTTAATAAAATCAAATGACTTAATAGATATATGGAGACACGTTAACCCCCAAAAGATCCAATATACATGGAGACGTAAAAATCCAGTCCAGTCTAGTCGAATTGACATGTTCCTAGTCAAAAAAGATTTCATGTTAAACGTTAAGTCGTGTGATATTAGGCCTATTCTTATTAAAAGCACTGACCACCAAGCAGTTTCCATACAATTACAATCTGTCTCAACTGAAACTAGAGGCCCGGGTTACTGGAAAATTAATAACGATATCCTCGACGAGCAAGATTATGAATGCAATATAAGTAAAATAATACAAAAACATAGTAATAAGATAGAAAAAAATGAAATAGATCCAAGACTTCTGTGGGACTCCTTCAAATTGGAAATAAAGGAATATAGTATTAAGTATAGTAAAATTAAAGCAAAAAATAGGAAAAATGTAACACGTAATTTAGAATCACAACTAAAAATATTATATGAGAAATCAAATAATGAGGAAAATGATTTTATAAAAGAAAAAATATCCACATTAGAAAAAGAGCTAGAAAACCAATATGAATACAAAGCTAAAGGAGCTCAAATAAGATCAAAACAAGAGTGGGTAGAAAAAGGAGAAAAAAATAACGCGTATTTCCTAGGTCTTGAAAAATCTAAACAAACGAAAAAGACAATACTTAAACTGAGAAACAATAATGGGGAAATAGTAACAGATCAAGATAAAATATTAAAGCTTGAAAGGGATTTTTATGCTAATTTATACGACACTAAACAAAAACCGGATATAGATGTTCAAAAATACATTACTGAAACAAAACGCAATTATAAATTATCAGAAGAAGAAAGTAAATCTTGTGACGGATACGTAACGCTAGAAGAATTAACTACTGCAGTCAATAATCTAAAATTAAATAAAAGTCCAGGAATGGACGGGATAAGCATTAACTTTTATAAAAAATTTTGGGGACTTCTTGGACCTCTACTTGTAAAAATTTTTAACTTTAGCTTTGAAAATATACAACTGCCATTTACGCAAAGACAAAGTTTACTGAATCTAATTTATAAAAAAAAATGATCCGTTGGAACTCACAAACTACAGACCAATATCATTATTAAATAGTGATTATAAAATTCTCTCCTACACTTTAGCTTTAAGAATAAAAAAAATCCTAAATCTAATCATTAATGCTGATCAAACAGGATACATCAAGAACAGATTCATAGGTTTTAATCTACGCCAAATACAAGATGTAATAGATTACGCAGATAAGTTCAATATAGAAGGTGCTATTTTATTCATAGATTTTTCGAAAGCTTTCGACACATTAGAATGGAATTTTATGTATCATACTTTAGAATATTTTGGTTTTAATAAACCCTGCATAAATTGGATAAGAACCTTGTATACAAATATAAATAGCTCTATATTCCATAACGGGTGGATATCTGCCCCTTTTGGACCCCTTAGAGGTATCCGGCAGGGATGCCCGTGCTCTTCTCTACTTTTTGTAATGTCAGTAGAAATAATGGCCAACCAACTAAGGCAAAACAAAAATATAAGAGGCATAGAATTAAAAATTGATAGTAAAACACATAGCTTGAAAATCACGCAAGTTGCTGATGATACAACTCTATTCCTCAAATCGAAAGAAGAAATCCGAACAGCATTAAATGTAATCGAAATTTTTGGAACTTTTTCCGGACTACAACTAAATAAAAATAAAACAGAAGGAATCTGGATTGGTAAACTCAAACATTGTAGGGATAAAGTAGATGAAATTAATTTCACGGATAAATCCGTCAAAGTGCTAGGATATTTCGACATTAATAAAAAAAGATTGTGAAAAATTGAATTGGGATACTAGATATGAAAAGAGTCGAAATCTAATTACATCGTGGAAAAAAAGAAACTTAACAATTTTAGGTAAAATTCTAATAGTTAAAACCCTCATTATACCACAATTTACTTTTTTAGCGAACGTTACAGTTTTAAGTAACTCAAATATACTTGAACTAGAAAGAGAAATCTTTAGTTTTATATGGGATGGTAAAAAAGATAAAATCAAAAGATATACATTGGTAGCAGATTACAACCAGGGAGGGCTAAATATGATCGACATAAAAAGCTACTTCTCCTCTCTTAAGATAAGATGGGTCTCTAGGTTGCTACAGGCAAAACAAGAAAATTGGACATTGATCCCAAAGCTATTTTTAAACAAATTAGGGGAAAATTTCCTTATTTTTAGAATGAACTTAAATAACCAAACCTTAAAAAAACTAGATATAACTAAGGATATTCCAGATTTTTACTTAGATATAATAAAAAGTTGGATTTTAATTCATGAAACGAAAAACAAAGAACTGAAAAACTTTGTCGAGATAAGAAAGCAAGTTATCTGGGGTAATAAATTTATCAAATTTCAAAACAAGCCGCTTATTATGCATAATTGGATACACAGTGATTTCATTTATCTTAATGATATTATTGACGACAATGGAAAAATTGCCCACGAAAAAATATTTAAAAAACTGCAAAACACTAAAAATTGGATTTCAGAAATTTCGATAGTCAAAAAAGCAATACCAACCTCATGGCTAAAAGTTTTAGCCAAGAAAGAATCCATCAAATCAAATGTAAATTTTAACAGATTCTTCATCAATATAAACAAAGAAAACACTGAATTTGAAAATTTAAGCAACAAAAAGGTATATCAATACCTCGTTCGACAAAAAATTTCTCCAAACATCGGCATAAATAAATGAAAAAAAGAACTAGAAATCAATTACAATTTTACCAAATATACGTTTAAATTTATACACCAAAATTTAAAACTGAATAAACTAAAAATGTTTAGATGGAAATTGATAAGCTGCATTCTCCCAAATGGAGAAAATCTCTACAAATGGAAAATCGAATCTAGCCCCTATTGTCAACTTTGTCAACTTAAAGACACGTATCATCACTTTTTTATTGAATGTAAATTTCTAAAAGAATTTTGGGAAATTATAAATAAAATTTTATCTCAAATGAACTTTAATAAAAAAATCAACTTAAAAGATATAGTAATAGGCTACAAAATAACAGATAGCGAGTATATCGGATTCAATATAATTCTGACAATTATAGGATTTGCAATCTACAAATCGTACTATGTATCAAACCAAAGAAATAAATCTACTAATGTATTCATTCTCTTTAAATCTGAATTTGACGAATACTTTAGATCATACAATCTAGACAAAGAATACACTGCAGTCCGGGTGTTTCAAAATTTAATCTAAAGAACAGAAATTTGTTTTCTTCAAAAAAAAAAAAACATTTTTATGATATTCTTATGCAGACAGATATCTTAACTATATAAATAAATAAATTACTCACCAAATAAGTTTGAAATCCAAGGATAAAGATATAAAATCGGCAAATTCCACAATAAACATCCATTAAAATGCATGCTCTCACCTTTAAACAAGGTAAAACATCCGATCAAGAAAATCGATATTCCACACATTTAAACCATGCAATTGATAAACGAGATGACAGTAGATAATTTATTTCGGATTAGTGTATCATATTATTATTGAACATTGTATAAAATTGTAAAAAAACAGTAGATAATTAATTTCGGATTAGTATGTCATATTATTATTGAACATTGTATTTAATTGTACTATTACTAATATAAAATATAAGAAAATACTACTTATCTATATGAAACCCTGTTCTTATAGATATTAACAATATCGGGGTACCTTACTGTTAAAGCTGTAGCGGTAAGGTCATTGTTAACAGCTTTAGTGCAATAAAACTTTATTCAAGTGTTAAAAAAAAAAAAAAAATATTTCATGTATATTCATAGGTTATTTTGAAAAATGTAATTTCTTTTCGGAGATACACAACATTCTATCAATTTGTTTGCACAATCTGACTGATGCTACATGTATAGTCATCCAACTTAGTTTAAAGATACCCAAATGGCAAATGAAGGAGCAAGGAATGATGTTTGAGCGCTTTTATTTTTTCCGATGTGACGCCTTCACTTGTTTGTGCTATTTAGTTAATATTCATCGTGTAACAAAAGGGCCTCGGTGGCCGAGTGGTCTAAGTAGTTACTACTGTAATCACTAGCCAGTCAACACTGAGGTTGTGAGTTCGAACCCCGCTCGTGCGGGTGCACTCGACTCCAATCTTAATTGACTAGGATTGTCAGTTTTCCTATCGAAGGTCGGTGGTTTTCTCCGGGCACTCCGGCTTCCATCACCAATAAAAACTGACCGCCACGAAATAGCCCAAAAGCGGTGCTTAAATGTGGCGTTAAAACACCAAAAATCAAATCAAATCAAATCATGTAACAAATTGTGCATGATTCAAAAATAATTCTGTACATGATTTTTGCATTTATATATATAGTGTGAGGTGACTCTACTTTCATTTACAAAGAACAAACAATATTGTTGTAACTTACAATTATAGTTTCTTATAAAACTAACCTTTTTTATGGATCTTTACATACTTAATAATACCTGAAAGAAATAAAATATATTTTTACCTACAATAAATTTCACAATAATTTGAATAAAATGCTCCGCTGGGGCGCAGCTTGGTACGATTGCAGAGGTCGAACCCTGAACATTGGGGGCAAGTATGGACACAACATTCAAGCTTGATACAGCACTGAATTTGGATTGTAATTAAATATTTGACACATCATAGGTTTCTGACACAGAATGGAAGTGGTCTAAGAACTTAAAATTTTTTAATTTGCCTATTCAAACCATATCATTATTATTTGCTTTTATATATAAATACGAAATAACCAATTTAAAATGGAAAATTTTAAAGACAAAAAAGGAAAAAAAAATCCCCCCCCCAATTTTTTTTAACCCCCTTATGATTCATCACTCCCAAACTCAATCCCAGCCTTCCCTTTGTGGTATGGCACCTTGCAGTACAATTTCAGAGAGATCCATACACTTGAACACAAGTTATTGTCTGGAAACTAGAAAAATGCTTGTTTTTTGGCTCCTCTTTTGCCCCAAATTCCTAAACATTTGCGGCAATTACCCCCAAACTCAAACCCAGCTTTCCCTTTGTGATAAGGAACCTTGCAGTACAATTTCATAAAGATCCATACACTTACACACAAGTTATTGTCATGAAACTAGAAAAATGCTTGATTTTTTGCCCTTTTATGGCCCCCTTTTCCTTAAATTTTGAAGGAATTACCCCCAAAATCAATCCCAGCCTTCCCTTTGTGGTATGGTACCTTGCAGTA